ACAGCTAATTTTTTCTTGGTCGTACGCATTTAAACAAAAGTTGACAATTTCATTTGAAATTCTTGTTTATTTTAACCTAATATTTTTTATACAAATTAAATTAATTTATAAACCCAATTTAAAAGAATATTAAAATACTTTTCTTATATTTTAAAAAATGCCTGCCCAAACCTAAACATCCTGTAGATGTATGTACGCTCCACTGCGCCTATTCCTATATAAGTCAGTCGGTGCATGTACACTCTACTGCGCCTTTTTTTTTTTTTTTTTTTTTTTTGTATGTATTTAGGTGCTCCCAGAAGTCCTTTTGGTCTTATCATAGAGCACCGCGGGAGAGCATTTAATAGGAAGTTCACGCCTCCTTCCGTACCAATGTCGCTTGTTGGGCTGGAGCTGGCGTCGAACCTCGGACCTCTGGGTTCTGAGCCAGAACTTTAACCACTGCGCCACTTTGACCAGAACTTTAACCACTTTGCCTATTTAAGTTTGTCAATGTATGTACACTCCACAGTGCTTGTCCTTATTTAAGTTAGTATGCTCGACTGCGACTACATCTAAATCAGACGATTTATGTATGTATTGATGTACTTATTCTATGAAACTTTTTTTAGTTATGTTTATTACTTATTTTTATTCTATAAAAATAAATAATAAACATAACTATAAATAAACAACAATAATTGTTAAAAAAACATAAAACTATTTAGAAATAAAAATTCTCTCCAATAAGGATTAGATTACCCTCAACTCTGACAGTCACGCCTTAATAGAAAAGAAGATTTAAGCACCTAGAGCACGACACCGTTTTATTAACGACGCGAAATATTAAACATTTTTCGCGTAAGATTTCTATTCTGAAAACCTCATTTGTGCGCGTTTACAAATAATGACTTTAAAAATAATGACTACAATTAAGTAACAAAAACGGGAACATTTTTAACCAAAGCGATAATTGTTAAAGTAATATTTTTTTATATAAATAAACAATGCATTAAAACAATGTATTTTTTATAATGATAATAAGAGAAAGCTGCAACTACCAAAGGGAGTTGTTGCATGATACCAATCTTAGATTGTGTTGATGAATTGTATTATTAAATTTGTAATAATTACTAAAGTTTAAAATGTTGTTAGGTAATCTCTCAGAGACAAAAGATAAAAATATAAAATCTAGCAAATTCAATAAAGTAAGTTCAATAAAAATATTAAATTGAGTTTCATACTTTTTAAAGGCTTCAGCAGATGTTTCAATCAAATCTATCCGTTTGAAGATTATCCCCCATAACAAACATATAGCATATGTTAGTTTGAAATAACATAGTGTGGCAAATTTCTGACCTTTGTCAATATTTCATTTGCGTAAATGTATTTAGATGTAATCTGCTTTAGTTGGATTTCATGTTCATTACGTTTTGTGGTTTAAAGAGAACTGTTCTGATTTTTTAGCATTTAGGGATATTTTGTTGGGTCCTAGCCATTAAACCAAGCAAGTCAGGTTGTAGTTGAGATGTTGATTTAGTTTTTAAAATAACTTTTTATTTATTAGGACGTTAGTGTTATCAGAGAAATTGTATGTTTTTGAGAATGTAGTGCATGTGTTCAGGTCAAATATATATATATATATATATATATATATATATATATATATATATATATATATATATATATATATATATATATATATATATATATATATATATATATATATTAAAAAAAAAAAAAAATAAGAGGACCAATAATTGTAGTGGGGAACACCTATAAACATTGATTAAGTCTTAGAAGTGGTATTGGAAATGGTAAAAGATTGAGAATAGTTTATGAAATATGGCTTAAATTTTTCTGATGCCATAACTATGTAATTTGGATAACAGAATTCAATTATCCACAGTTTTAAATGTAATTTAAAAACTCTACAGTTATATATGTTTTTGTCTAAAGCTTTCCATATATTTTCAGCTATTTTTAGAAGTTCTTGGTTTAAATAGATAATTTTACTGACTTTGAAAACTGTCTAATTTTTTCTAGGGATTATGAAAATTTTATGTACAAGAGACTCTTGAAGAGTCTTTTGTACATCAATTTTTGCAGGTGTTTAGTGATATTGGATAGTATAAGTTGATAGGTATGATGGTTTATGAAAAACTTTTTTTCAAGGATTGGTATAGCCCAAGCAATCTTAAACAAGTCATGGTCCAAATTTCACAAATGCTAGATTTAATTAGCTCATTAATTATTACTCTTAACGGGGATGGCTAAGTTCTTTTGATGCTAAGATAACTATATTTCTAGAAACACTGTCGAGACTTATGTTCTTTTTATTAGTTTATTGTAGATAAGTAATCTTCTGGTATAACTTATCTGGTATAACTGTGGATATATAAAAAAGGAGTTTGTATTATGGTTTCTAAAATAATGACTATGGTATGATTTCTGATGCAAGATTGTTTGTAACTAAAGAGAAATAGTCATTAGGTAATTTTGTTTTTTGTCATTGATTGTCAGATTATTTACAAGTTAGCTTTTTAATGTACTTTGATTATTGGCGGAAATGATTCTATAAATAAATTGACTGGCTCCCTGGTTCCTAAAAAAAACTTAAATTCACCTAACTAAGTTGTGTCTATTACCCAACCTTATTATTATTGTATTTTGATTATTGGATTTTATATTTATTATAATTTTTAGTCTATTCCAAGTGTTTTTAAGGTTATCAACGTTTTTATTTAATAATTAGTGATTTGAAATTCAGGATCTGGATTTTACAAGATCCATAGGACTTTTCTGGCAGGATTTTAAAAAAAAAGTTAAAATAAATTTTTTCCAATTAAAAGCCTACTTAGTAATGATTTCCTATAGTCTGGTAGGATGCATTGATTTTCATTGTAATTCTTTATATTTTTAGAATAGTTTGATTTTTTTCAAGAAGCATAATAGGTTGCTAATTTTATTTCTGCAATAATTTAATTGGTTAAAAAAACTTTAGTTTCAAGAACTTATACCTGCATTTTATAGACACTTTTGAGTTCTATTCTTTATATTATTATGTTTAATGATACTAGCAATAATGCTTAGTTTTGATAAGGCTTTTCTTGGTTAGTAGCTAGATAATAGGGAAGATGCATGTTGTTTAAGCGCATTGTTAATGAGTTCTAAAAATTTTGCATGAAAAATTCTAGCAATACTTTATTGCTGGATTTTTTTTTCGACTTCTTGATTACAGGTTGCCAATCTATGGCTGTAAAAATATCCTCCTTTATTAGAGCATGAATCAGCTTTCTTTAGAAAGCAACTTCCCAAAGATATATCAGTTTTTTGCATATTAAATTTTCAAGTTTTTATTTTCCAAATGTTTTGTTTAAATATTTTATAATATTTTAATTCTCAAAACTAGAGTCCTTTTTGAGACTTTACATCCCTGTTTTTTTTTTTTTTTTTTTTCTTCTCGATAATCAGTTTTAATTCATTACTCTGTGATAAATTGATTTGACTATCTTGCATGGAATTAATAATAAAGATATTGGTTTTTAATTAACATTGTTTTAATATAACCATCGTTTTAATAACACTTAATATTAGGTTCAACATTAAAATTATAATTTCAAATTCAATATCAGATTATGTAACATAGATAAGTCAAATGAATTAAATTTTTATTGTCTTGAATGTTTTGAAAAATTTATGTGTTGGGGAGGGTGTTGATTTTGTAATAAATATGATGTACATATGCAAATGGGAGGGGAGATTCCTTGAAAGCAATTAGCTGTGAACAAAGGGAAAGGGGGTTCTAAATTAGTGGTATTACTGCGTACATATATACTAGAACTTTTTGTTTAGGTAAATAATGAAATTTGATAAAAAGTTTTTTAAGAAATCATTCAATATAAAACATAGTTAAAAACAGCCTACTGATTTCTTTACTACACTGTCCTATTTAATTTGAATAAAACAGACCATTATCATATGTAAAAATAATATAAATATTAAAATATAGATTAAATTCTGTTAAGATAAAATATAGCTTTTGCGTTTTTATGAATTCCTTGAATGAAAATTGCCAGCTGTTAGATGCATTTTTATAACCAAATAATAAGGAAGTAATTAATTTGCCAGTTTTTTATGAATGTTATCTTTTGAGTGTACTCTTAGGTGCTTAATACAAGCTGGGGTGGGAATATAAGGTGGGGAGGAAAATTTTGTTCAGATCTAATGAAGGGGAGGGGGTGATCGTATATGTATAATACGATTGACCTTTTTACCAGTAATCTTAAAGCTCTAACTAATGGAATAATGGTTGTAATTAAGGTCACTTAAAGCCTATTATAGAGCATTGTCTGTTTAAAAATTGACAGGTGTAATAGATTAAAAATTCTTTAATGGCTCATACAGCCTTCAGCTATTCAAGTTTTCTGTTAACCATTTCTTTGCTCTATAACTCTGTTCTTTTTAGCTTTAATGCATGCCTTTACACAAAGTAGTGAGTTTAAAGTTTTTGTATTTTTGATTCATAAGTTTTCCCACATTTTTAAAAGTTGCAATCAGCACAATCCTTTCTTTATCTTCTCTTTATTTATTGAATTAAGATTGTATTCTGCATACTATACATATTAAAATAGTTTACAACAAATAGCAACAAACAGATAATCTGTTTGTTATCCACAAAAATGCTTAAGCAATTAAATGATAAGCATTTTCTGGTCAAAAAAAAATAAAAAAAATTCTATAACTTAGTTTATCAAAAAGAATCTTTAAAAAAGTTAAACAGAGGAAAAAATATTTAGGTTAAGTGATTTTATTAAACTAATGTTTAATGTTTGTGTTGTAATTTATTAGTATTTTAAACATATTATCATAAATAAAAAATTCTCTTTAATTTCACTAATCTATTACACCTGTCATGTTTTTTTTTTTTTTGAAAGAAAAAAAAATGATAGGTGTAATAGATTAACATAATCTAATATATATGATATAGACATATATAGATTAAAAATTCTTTAATGGATGTCATGCAAATGCTTGATGTTACTTGGGGAAAGGGACTTCAACTTTTTGCAATTGTTTGTTGAAGTTCGAATTTGAGAGTTAATGTGTTTTAATGCCTTGGTCAATGCAAATGATTTTAAGGATCTCAACAACCAGTTAGAAAAAAATTTGCAGTCCAAGATCTTTTTTTGTCACTCCAAGCCAATAATAAATGATGAAGAGATTATATCAGTAGTTTTAACAGAAAAAACTTTAATGTTTAAGAGAATGAAGATATTAATGAAAATATTTTGATTGAATCAACTTGCCGTCAATTGTATGTCAAGCCTTGGAGGTACTGCAAAGCTACATAATATTCAGTAACAAAAGGTAGTCTATTAAATAAATGCATGAACCAAATAAACTTAATTGTGAAAAAAAAAGAATTATCAGAAAAGCTAAAACAAGCTAATATGTTAAACTTTTTTCACTGAATCATTTTCTTTTATCATTGTAATGGTGTATATTTAATGTTTATATTTTTAGAATTGATGAAAGAAAAATTGCCTTAACTTAAGTTATTATCTTATCTTACAAAATTCAGATTAACAGAGTTTTGCTTAAGTCAAGGAATCATTAATTTGAACCATTTTCTCTGGTTTTATGAAGATTTGCGTTACCAGAGTTTAACTGTGCTAATTTTTGGATGTTTAAATTTTTTTATAATAAAGTGTGATTTATTAATTTATAATTACAAAATGTATAAAAAATATATTTCAATGAGATTTATATAAATTTTTTAGCACCATTGAATAGTATGCGTATAATGAAAAAATTAGTCACCAATGCAGTTTCATGTAGATGCAAGAAATCAACCAAGTTTATTATAATATTTATTGGAGGTTTTTTTTTAATTGCTAACTTTATTTCAATTAAATATCTAATCAGATATGATTTGAAGAATTATGCAAGAGTGAAAAGTAATCAAATGACTTTAAATGAAAATAAAATGACTAATGAATATATATTGGAAAATGAAAAAGAAATAATGACCAAAGAATCTTTATTGGAAAATGGAAAAGAAATAATAACTAAAGAGTCTTTTTTGGAAAATGAAAATAATAAAATGGAAGATTTTCATGAAGTCATAATAACAAGACCGATAGAAATTGAAAGTAAAATGTCTGGAGACAAGAATTTTAATAATGAAAGTTTTATATCAGACAATAGTAAAACAGCACCTCCATTAAATAATAGTATGGTCTTATTAGTTATTGCTTGTAATCGCCCTTCTGTTAGACGTTGTTTAGATAATATTTTTAAGTATAAACCTTTAAGTGTTAATATACCTGTTATTGTTAGCCAAGATTGTGGAGATGAACCAACTTCAAAAGTGATAAGTTCATATGGAAACAAGTTAATACATATAAAACAACCAGATCTTGGAGAGATACATAATATCCCATCAAACATGAAAATGTATAAGGGATACTATAAGATATCTCGACACTATAAATGGGCATTAAATCAGGTTTTTGAGCATCATGGAGCAGATAGTGCCATAATTGTTGAAGATGACATAGATATAGGTAATAATGATATACATTTTTTTATACCACATAAATTGCTGTTGTTGTTGTTATTATTATTATTATTATTATTATTATTATTATTATTATTATTATTATTATTATTATTGTTGTCATTATTGCTGCTGCTGTTGTTGTGACAGAGTTAATTTAGTATTTTTAGTTTACTTTTAAAATACAATTCTATGCATATATAGTTTTAAATTTAAAAAAATTAGTTTATCATGTTGTTTATAATTTAATGAAAATACTGACTTAACTTGAATATAAAAAAATGCTCTCAGGTGCTTTTTTAATTTTTTTAATTAGGCTACTTATTTGTGGTCATAACCCTCTCTCAATTCTATAACTCCGAAACACGAACCTTGACGAACAAGGCCGCTGCGCAGAGAAACGAGTTGAGCGCGGTACTACCAGGGACGTGGTGGGGATCGAACTCGGAACCACTCGTTTATGAAGCGAGTGCTCTGCCACTACACCACTACCGCATATATAGTGGGAATAAAAGGTTGGACCACTACGCATAATATAGTGGGAATAAAAGGTTGGATCTTATTAAGCTTTGGGTAGGTCGGAAAATTTCCAAAAAATTAATAAACATCCCCTCCTGTGTATTAGGCAATGTAAACACCACACATATACACAAAAATTCTCATTTATTGGCAAATAACTAATATTTAATAGAAATGAAATATAAAAATAATAAAGATTAAGGGAGGATGTATACAAGTGAGCCACAGTTAGGAGTAAATCATTGATCCCATAGCTAGATTCTGCCAAAAAAAGACCTTAAACTTTGGCTAAGTTATTACAAGCACATTTGCATTAAAATTATCAAAATTTTTATCAGTTGGTCAGCCAAGAACCAAAAGACTGTATGCCCATTATTTGTGTTTCCAAGAAAATCAAGTTTTAATTTGTAAAGACTTTCTGCCAAAATATCGGACTAATTATTTAAGTATTTTTAAAAGTTGTATCATACTTTAGACTAGACTCTTGGTTCTCGGCTGATGAGTTCTTAAGGCAGGTGTCTATGTTAGTGGTGTATTCCACTTTTTTTTTTCTTTTTTTTTTCTTTTTTTGTTTTTTTGTCCAGAGATAAAATTATTGTACTGGCTGAAACTTCTTTAAAAATGTACTATAATTATCATAATTATTTCAAGATATTGGTTAAAAAGCAGCTAATAAAAAATGTATCTAGAAAAATGTTTTTTTTAGGTAAATAAAGCTAATGGATCACTCTTAACATTTGTTGATTCATTCCTACTTGTGTAAGGGTAAGAGTGAACAAGTAGTTACTCATGGAATATTGTTTAAATCGATAAAAATCTAGAAATGTTGTTTATCATATTACTATTAGAAACCTAATACACAAAGTTGTTATGGGCTCCTTATCCAATATTTTTCTCACTTTTAATTTACTTGATATGATTTTCTTTTTTTTTAAATAGGCTCACTTCTACCCATCCTTGCTCATCCTCCCCTACTAATCAGATATTTTAGTAAAGTTTTTTTATAATTATAATTTTTTTGATAATATTGGGTTTTTAAGGAAATCAAGTATTTATCTTAATCAAATCATTTTTAATTACTATACTGTTGTTACCTAGACTGACCAGAATATTATTTTTTATGCAGGAGAGCACATTAAAAATATGTTTAATAAGTTTCGGTGCTGTGCTCTCCTATGAAGAAAATAGTGGTCAGTCTATACTTACCCATGTTAAGGGGTTTATTTATTTATTATTTATTTATTTAATAATAACTGTGTACATGTACAATGACAATGTATGGAGTCTAGGTAATCTAGGCTTTAACAGCTGATTTATGTTAAAAATAAGTCCAACTTTGATTTAAACTTATTAAGTTTTTTAGAATCTGCAATGTTTTGATCTAAGTTATTCCAATTTTTTTTTGTCTTGTCCTAAGTAAGGATACCAGACTGAATTTGGGTAGTCATAGGTATGATCATAATCTATATATGGTCTGCATAATCTAAATACGGTCTTACAAGAGAGGACAATAGTTTAGACGTGTTTGTATCTAAGTTTTTAAATGAATTTTTTATTATTCCTAACATTTTATTAGCTTTACCAGACACATAATTAACTTAACTAGATCATTTTAAGTCGTTTGAAATCATAATTCCTAACTCTTTTTCAATTTTGGTTTCTGGTAGTTCAACTCTGTTTAACACCGAATCATACATTGTGTGTATATACTTAGTATTTTTGCTACCTATATGTATGCGTTTACATATGCTAACATTTAATTTTAATAGCCATAGTTTTGACCAATGCATTAATTTGTTTAGATCTGTTTTAGTCTTTTTGCTTTTTGATATCAGAAGATGATCTAATTATGTTAATTAGTTTAATATCATCAGCATACATTTTACACTTCGTTGATAGCTCATTCGGTAAGGCGTTTATATAAACAGTAAACATAAATGAACCTAAGGCAGAGTCTTGGGGTACTTCACTTGTAACTGGAGACCAATTTGAAAGTTTGCTGTTGCAGACGACACGCTGCACTTTGTTACATACAAATATTTGCTCTGTTAACTTGATGGATTCGATTTATCTCCATTTTTGAATAATGGTGTTATGTTTGCATTTAACCACATCAATTGGTTGTTTCCATATTTGGGTTGTTTCCATGTTTTGTAATCATGGAGGTAGAAGAGTCATTTTTAATGTTTATACATGAAAATGGGGAGGTGAGATTAGTATGATCTGTATGATACATACAAATATAGTAAGTGACCGGGGCCCCGGTCCTGGCTAAAAATAAGACTTTTTTAAACCCAGCCCCGCAAAATTATAAGATTTAGCAGTGGTTGATAGCTGGGGCTAGAAAAAAAATTATAATGCTTAATATGCTATAATTTTATGCTTACATACTATTATTAACTGTTATCAACAACCACTATTAAGTTATGAGTCGCTTTAAAATAGAGAACAAGTTAAAATACTTGGAAGGGTATAACTGAAGACTTAAAAAGTTGTAAGTTGTATAAAAAATGAAGATGAGTAAGAATTATAAGGTTTTTTTGATGTTCAAGGAAAAAAACTGAATTAATAAAAATTTTTATAGCATGAAGGGACAGATACAGTAGAAGGATGCAACCTGTTGAATAAAAAGCTAAGTAAGAATGAGTTTTGGTTTATCGTTATAGAGAGGATAGAAGATAGTAGAAAAAAGAAAGAAATGTAACCTTAAAACAATAGGAGAGTGACTCAAGCCTGGCAGATAAAGCAGGTCTAATTACATTTACAATGTGGTTTTAGATTTTTCTGAGAGTAAGGGTGTTGTTATTCGTCAATATGGGAATGCCAAGAATATTGCAATATTTTTTTGCAGAAAATATATGAGTTTAGCAAAAATTGTGGATTTTAAGTCCAGAATTTAAATCCATAAGCCACTGCAAGCCTTAGGCTGTTACAGAAGAGAGATCAGATTTGAAATCAGCTGCTTGTTTTAAGCAATTAAAAAGTGAAGATCTTTTGACAAGACAAAAGTATAAAGTTGAGTCATCAACAAATAGAGCAACTTTAGATTTCATGAAGATCGTTATTGTAAATAAAAAACAATACAGAAGCAAAGATAGCACCTTGTGGTACCCTTAAAGCTGTTTGAAATAAAGAAGAGTGTGAGAGGAAGTGAAGGAAGAGGAGGAAGCCTTCAAGAATAACTTTACTAATGCAGTTAGAAAGACTTAATAACCTCAAAACTTTTATAGCAACTAATAACAGAGTGAAGACTAATCGTAGGATAGTTGGAAAGGTCAAAGTGTTTTCTAGAGTTATGAAAAATTGGAACCACTTATTTAGCACTTTTTAAAAGTTTAGCAAAAATTGAAGAGAGTTCTGGAGAACACTTTTTAAGACTATGATGGAAATCTTGTCTGGAGTACAAACTGTAGAAGTGTTCAACTGAGAATTAACTTAAGCATCGGAAGCTAGAGTGATTTTGATGTTTAACAATGGGTTAATCTGTTAAAATGTCAGAAAAAATATGCATTACATTCAAGAGTCAAATTAGAGTAAGATTTTTTTGCAAATAACTCTGCTGATCCTTTTACTTCTGGGAAGAAGTAAAAGGATCGAATCCATCAAGTTAGCAGAGCAAATATTTGTATGTAACAAAGTGCAGTGTGTCGTCTGCAACAGCAAACTTTCAAATGATTAAATGTTAGACTTACTTTAGTTACTGACACAGTTGAAGACTAACTAAAAGTCTCTAGAACCTAACATTTGGAATAAGATACAAGATTTAGTAAACTGAGAATAACAGAGCTTAACATCAGACAGTTCTTTTTTACATTGGCTTCTTGCAATAATAAAAAGACATTTGTTCTTAAGAGAGATGTTCTTATAAAAAAGATGAAAAAAATTATTGTTTGATAAAGCAACTGCTCAAGACGGTGAAAAATTGTAGAAAAAAAAAAACTTTCAAGATGCACTTTCTGCATACATATTATGGATATAAACATATATGTTTGTTCTTTATTTAGAAGCTGGCATACAATATCTTTTCATTGTTATATAAACTAATTAAATAAAGTAATTTAGGTATCAGCATGTAGAGAGGTAGCATCGTCAGTAGAAAATGGTAGTGGTAGAAATAAGGAAACTTGAAGAGAGTGCCTTACATATTGTATGAATGAACTTTAGTTAAGAAAAAAAATGCTCTAGATTGTTTATATTAGAGAAACAGCATAAAAGAGGAAGGCTAAAGCTTGATGATGATGATGATGATGATGATGATGATGATGATGATGATGATGATGATGATGATGATGATGATGATGATGATGATGATGATGATGATGATGATGATGATGATGATGATGATGATGATGACAAAGAATTCACAAGAACTACTTGACAATATATTTATTTTACTGGGGTAATTTAGCTCTTGATTTTCTGAATAGAAATATCTGTAAATAAGTGTTGTTTAAAAATAGCATTTGTGTTAAAAATATAAAAGCAGTAAATTTTGAATAATGGTTTTTGGCGTAACAACATTTATTGTTACAAAGAATAATGATAGTTATGATGAATATTAAATAATTTCATTTAATGTTAAAAAAATTTTATTTTAGAAAATGTTGTTTAATTTCAATATATAGTGTTAGTGAATTATGTTTATTAATGTGGCTGGATAGCTCAGTTGGTTAGAGTGTCAAACGAAAAGTTAAAACACGGACTGTTATACGATACAGGTTCAAATCCTGCCCCCGCCAACTCAATGCTTGAGTAGTAATTCTGTACACAAAAACGTTGGTCAATAATGGATGCTACTTTGGATTGATCTTAATGACTATTTGTGGCTGTTCCTATGCTAAGCCAACAATATTTTTAGATATACTAATGTATAGAAAAATATAGCATAAAAATTCAAATAAAATTATAAAAAAAAAATTAATACTGGAACATTTTTCTAAATAATTAAGAAATGTTATATAGATGCCACCTAATTTGTAGTTTTTTTTGTTTATTATACTGTTTTCTTCATTATATTATATTATACAATTAGTTCATTATATTTTTTTATTATTTTAAGTGATATGTTCAGAGAAATATGATAATAAAATTTTAGTTACATAAATTATTTTTTAGGTATAAAAATTTTCATTAAAAGAAAGTAAAATTAGTCCAACCAATTGAAATAACATACAGAAAGTCTCAGAAACACATACACAAAGTCTCTTTTGTTACTAAATCAATAAAGTTATCAACAGTAAACTAATTAACATCAAACATACTTAATTAAATGTTTATTGTCCCTTACAGCAAGCTTTATCACTGTTCTGAGTGAGAAACCATATAAATTTTCTAATAACAAGTGTGTTCTTATTTTGCATCAATAAAGCTCTTTAGACATCTTGATTTTAATGCTCTCAGGTGTTCACAGGTCTCTTGTGTTACTTCTTTTGTCCAGACTCTAAGAATTGACTTTTTCCATGAATGTAGGCTGCTTTTGTGAAACCTTATTCTTAGCAAAGTTCCACAGGTTCTTGATTGGGTTGAGGTCCGTCGAGTTTCTGGGCCAATCAAGAACCTGTATTCTGTTGGTACAAAACCACTCCTTGCATACCTTGACAGGATGACTCGGTGCTCCATCTTGCATAAAGATTTTGCAACCAATTCATAAAAGTTGATAGTTTATTTTTTAACAAGTTTATGTATCATCATTCACATTCATAAGCTGTGTTAATGTCTTCTTCCAACTGAACTGAAGCATCCCCACAACATAATGATTGATACAATGATTGTTACACTCTTTGCTGTGTAACAATCATTGTATCTCCTCCCAAGAGGCCTTCTGAAATAATGACATATTTGTTTGAATTTGATGAAATATCGAGTTTGATGAAATATTGATTCATCTGACCAAAGTACCTTTGACCACTGGTCTGTGGTCCATGCTTGTTCTTTTTTGGCAAGTTGTAAATGCTTACTTTTCATGGCATTTGTTAGTTTTGCTTTGTTAACTGGACGGCATACTTGTAAATTGAAAGCCCTGAGTCTGTTCTTTACAATAGACATGTTTAAAAAGTTGCAAATTTCTTTGCAAGATTTCTTTAAACAACTACTGCACTAGCCAAAGTTGAAACACAAAACTTTACAGCTATCTTATATTCAGAGCACCCCTGTTCATAATCTGTATAAATACAAACTCATTTTGGTGGGGTTAAACCCTTATTTTGACCCTTTCTTAGCAAAACAAACTTATGTTCCACTAATTGAAGATTAGCTATAACATATCATGACATTGAAAAATATATTGGAGTGCTTATAATGATGTCAGTAACAAAGCTGCCACAACAACAAATTTATTGGTTTACTGAGTGTCTTTGTGTTGTAGAAGCTATGACTGTAAAAAAAAATTTGAATAAATTTAAATAAAATTTCATTTTAATGATAATATTAATTGTTTAAAAGTTTTTGAGATATATAATGTTCATATAGGTGTAGATTTTTGTGATATGCTTTTGGAGTCATCGAGTTAAACAAACTATATACCTATATTTTATTACTGCATTGGTATAAGTATGAGTATCTACTTGTTACTCTATTGACGACATATTGCAAAAAAAAATAAAAAATCAGTTCTCAACAGTACAGTTTCAATTACAAATTGGTTAGTCTAATTAAAGTTGGAAAATTACCCAATAACATCAATCGTGCTAGTTTATCAATACCATTATCCGTTTATCAATAGCATAAACCCTCCATCAAAAAGAAGACCAACTGTTAATATACCTCTTTCAAGTTTGATATCCAAGAGCATTTTCCAGTCTTTCAAGACAAACAAAACCGTTGTAAATATTGTGAAAGAGGTTATAGCTTTTTGGAATATTCGAAGTAAAAATTTTGTCTGTCTTAAGTTAAATAAATTGCTTCAATAAATTTTCGTTGATATAGTTATATAATTGTTTTGAGGGTACATTATAATTAGAATAAAATTGTTTTTTGTATAAGATAATAAGAGATAAAAAAAATAAATATATAAGATATATATATATATATATATATATATATATATATATATATATATATATATATATATATATATATATATATATATATATATATATATATATATATTTATGATATAAAAAATAAGACTGTTAACTTGAAATAACATTGTAATGTGTTTTAAAAATATTGTAAAAGTTTTTTTTTTTTTTTTTTTTTTTTTTGAGTTATTTGCATGTTTACCATAAAAAAAAACTTGCAGAATTTGTTTATAATTTTGCATCATGAAAGGTGAAATAACATTTAATGAAAGTTTTTCGTTAAATATTAATTTCGATTGGCAACTACTCAAAGATTGCTTCTGTAACAAATTTATTTTTCTAACCTTTTTTTTTTTTGTAAAACATGCTTTGATTATATATTGTATGCATAGTTTAAAGAATGAATTTTCTTTTTTTTAATTTACTTTTTAAATTATTATACTTATGTTTAGCGCCAGACTTTTTTGAATACTTCTTAGCCACTCGACCGTTAATGGAGCTTGATCAATCTATATATTGCATATCTGCCTGGAACGATAACGGAAAAGTGGACTCAGTTGATCCTCTTGCCATCGATTTATTATATCGCACTGATTTTTTTCCTGGGTTAGGGTGGTTGATAACTAAAAAGATTTGGCAAGAAATGAAGCCAAAATGGCCTTTAGGTTTTTGGGATGATTGGTTGCGTGCACCTTCTCAAAGAAAAGATCGCGTATGTATTCGTCCAGAAATATCACGTACAAAAACATTTGGTAGAATTGGTGTGAGTCAAGGTCAGTTTTTTGATCAATATTTACAGTATATTAAATTAAATGAAAATCCGTTCCCCTTTCGCGATTATGATCTCAGTTATTTGTTAAAAGAAAACTACGATAATGAATTTTTACGAAAGGTTCAAAACTCTCCGCAAAAAAGTATTCATGAAATCTTATCTATAATTGATAGGCAAGAATACGCACGTGTGTCGTATAATAGCAACGATGAGTTTATTTTTATAGCAAAACAATTGGGTATAATGTCTGACCTAAAAGCTGGTGTTCCAAGAATGGCTTATAAAGGCATAGTTAGTGTTTTTAAAAATAATAAACGTATTTTTGTGAGTCCTTCCTTAGACTGGAAAGGTTACAAAGAAGAGTGAGATTTACGGTTGCGAAATGTTTATATATATATATATATATATATATATATATATATATATATATATATATATATATATATATATATATATATATATATATATATATATAACTTTTTTATACTTTTGAAATATAAACCTCGTTTTGTGAATTTTATAATTTAAGAAGCGCTAACTAAGCAATTATATTTTATATGTAAAAGTTGGCCAAATAATCATCTGAAGCGCTAGTAAAGCGTAAATATTCTGTTACACTAACTTTACTACAAGCTATTGCAACAAGTGCACTATTTTGTTAAATAAGTTTTATAGGTCTATTGTTTATTGTCAAAACATTAGTGTTGTGTTCTCATTGTCTTTTAAAAGTGTATGTTGTGATCAAATCTTTTATGATGGAAGTATAACTTTATGCGAATTTAAGTTTAGAAAACTGAAATATATATATATATATATATATATATATATATATATATATATATATATATATATATATATATATATATCGCGAGGTTAAAATAATCTTGTTCTACTCTTCACTTTTTGAAAAGTTATTGATTCTATTACGTTCCTCAAAAAATGTTTTTCTACTGCATTGAAACCTAATAAAGTCGCGGACAAAACATAATTAAAAAAAAAAAAGTATATGCCGTCTCCTGAAATTTATATTTTTTAAATCGTTTTATTTTATGGCCTAAAGATGTAGAATGTAACGAGATAATTCTAACCTTGCAATAAACATGTATATTGCAAGTAAAATACTATAAGTATTTTTGATATGTTTTTACATAACTAGTTTAGTGTCTGTAAATTATTTTTATAATTAAAGTTAAAGTCAGCCAATTCAAGACTTTCATTTCAAAAGAAATTAAAATTTTTAAGATTGTTAAGTTTAATAACCCTCCTTAACAATAATAATATTGTTTTTAAAAATAGATCACTCTAAGGATTTAAAATAAGCAATAAATTTTTCTTAAATTTGACATCAAATTTATAATGGCGGCAAAAATCTAAATATTTTTTAAACAAAATAATCTATTATTTAATTTCTTAATTTTCAAAATTTTTCTCGATGTTTTATCGAGCTACAAAAAAATGTCGGTTTTTCATTGGTTGTCTTCAAAAATCAACCAATGAATTTAATAGGTACTTTAATTAGATATTAATAATTTTATAATCGAATAGACCCAAAGCTTGCTCGGAAAATTGTGTTCTGACGTTTTAGCAAAAGCGAATAAATATAGACTGTAAAATAAATATTAGAATAAATAAATGTAGACTGTTAGACTGTCTAGCGAATAAATGTAGACTGTAAAATGTCTTTGAAAAATTATTCAGATTTACGGAATTAAATTACGGAATATAAGATACAACTTACACAGGTTTGAAATTACTTGTCGAACAAAAAATACGTACAATGTGATAATATAGGAATAACCAAAAATACTAAAACTTGTGGAGTTCCACAGGGTTCTATATTAAAGTAAAGGTCCTTTCTTTCTTACTATACATAAATGACTTATCTTCAACATCAACCCTATTAAATTTTATTTTATTTGCAGATGACTCCAACTTTATTTATTCTCATAAAAAGTATTGAAACACTTTTTAAAGTACTCAATGAAAAACTAAATAAAGTAAATTAATGGTTTATAGGTGAATGGTGGTTTATATGATGAATGGTATGAATAACAAAATGAATGGTTTATATGCAACAAATCTTTGATTAATCAAAAAGCAAACTTCCATTTCCACAAACAAGCAAACAATACCTCTTATTCTACCCAGTCTTCTAACTAATATAATATAACTAATAAAAGCAAACATCCGTTAACTTTTAGAAGTGAAAATTTGTCATGGAAACAATATATAGACTCTATAGTAAAAAAATCTCAAAAAACTTTTCATGATCTACATAGTAAAACCATTTTTAAATTTTAGGTCCAAAAATGTTTTTCTTTTAAACGGAAAAAAACACATACTGGCAATATTTGGACACATAACGGAAAAAAACACATACTGAAACTTTTTAGTCCCTGTGTAATAAAATATATACATATCAAAAAGTTCACGGTACAGAGAACCTACTCTTGTAGGGAATAACATCTTAATTTAGATTTGAATTGCGAAAATGTTTTTTCTTTAATATTAACAATATGCTGAAAGTTTTTGTTAATATAAAAAAAAAAAGTATTATCTAAAGAACATAACTTTAGGTTATACTTTTGAGTTACAAAGTTATTTTCTGAGAACTTAATGGTCCAAGCTTAGCTGAAAAAGTAAATTTTTTTTGATTGTTGTTTAGTTTTTTCAAATATATTTTTAATAAAGTTTGTAGTTTGTTTCATTTTTACATTTTTACATTTCACGTTTTTTTTTAAGAATTTTTCATACAACTTTTTTTTTCTTTGAAAATTTTAATAAACCTTTAGACATCCATGGAGCTTGATAAGACTTGGTATTTATAACAATTTTTTTCTCAGGAAAAGCTTTTTCATATTGCTCACAAAAAAATTTAAGAAATAGCTCATAGACATTATTTACCTCTACCGATTGCATTATAAGATCCCAATCAACGTTATATTTTAAAAGGTGTTGAAAATTTTGTAAGGAGTATTTATTGATCTGCCGCCTGTATATTATAAATTTAAAAGAAATATTATTAATAGTTATATTATTAGTTGTTAGAAAAGTAGGAAAATGATCTGATAAGTCTGTTAATGATTATGTAAAATGTAAAAATATAGTTGTTATAAAAAACCTGTAAAAATATAGTTGTTATAAAAATTGTTAGTGATTATTTTATCAAGTAAAGTAGAAGAATTCTTAGTTATTCTGGTTGGCTTATTTATTGTTGGAATAACATTATGTGGAAGAAGTTTATCGATAAAATGTCTAATTTTATTTGAAGCTTGTTTTAAAATGTTCAAATTAATATCGCCGACAACGTAAATATACTTCCATTCTATATTGATTTTAGTTATAAATGTAAGTGAGTTTTAAATTTTTTTAAGTTACCAGATGGCTTTCTATAAATAGCATTAACAATTATATTTTTTGTGGTTTTATTATAAAGTTCAATGCACAATGACTCACAATCTGTTTCATTAACGCATAGATCATTACGAGGGAAAAAATCAATTGAATTGTGGACAAAAATACTAACGCCTCCGCCACCATAACTATCACGTGGTTGATGAATTGACGTGTAATTAATTAAATCAAACTGCGTACTTTGTTTATCGCATTTACACCAAAATTGCTAAATTATAAAGACAAACAAAAAAATTTTGGAAAACGCAAAGATGCTGAAAGGTACAGGTATTTTTATTAATGAAGATTTTTCATTTGAAACTAGAAAATATGCTATTATTGAATACGATAAGTTAATAGTGAGAGGGTTTAATCTAAAAGCTAAATCAGTAATTTTATTTTTTATTTATGTTTCAAAATTTTGTATAAAACCATGTATAAAAATGGAGCAAAACTCTATATTTCAATTTTCTTAATGAAAATATTAACGATAATGACACTGAAACAGACTGTTTTGACAAATTGAATTTTGAAAGCAAATACTACTCAGTTTACCATTCTGCACAATATCTTAAAAATAATAAAAACGCATTTTCAATTTTAAATATTTTTTAAATATTAACATCCGAAGTTTGAATAAAAACTTTAAAAATTTTATTGGAAGAAATAAAACATAATTTTAGCATTATTTGTCTAACAGAAACGGAGTTAGATTAAACCCTCTCACTATTAACTTATCGTATTCAATAATAGCATATTTTCTAGTTTCAAATGAAAAATCTTCATTAATAAAAATACCTGTACCTTTCAGCATCTTTGCGTTTTCCAAAATGTTTTTGTTTGTCTTTATAACTTAGCAATTTGAGTATGATTGTTCTGGGTTTATTCTTTATTTTCTCTACGTAAAAGCGTCTTTCGATACGGTGCGCTCGTTCAATAATTATGTTACTTGTTTTTAACTGATCATTAAATATTTGTTGAACTTTTTTATCAGTTTGATTCCATGTTTCTTTTTCATTTTCTCGTACACCGTCAGTTCTAATATTGTTTCTTCTATTCCTATCTTCTAGTTTTCTTGTAGTGCATCATTTAATTTGCTTGCTTTTTTCTGCATTGTTTTTAGCTGATTTACAACTTTAGTAATTTCCGTATTCATTAACTTTTTAGGTTCTTTTTCGACGTGTACGAATTTTTCATTAATTAAGGTTATATTTTTTATTGAATGTAAAATTTTATCCATTTTGTCGCTTTGTATCGAGGCATTTCCTGATATTATTTTTAAAAGCGAACTTTCTTACGCTTCGAACTTTTCCTCCATTATATTTTCAATTTCTTTTTTACTTGCCATTTAATAGATTATGTGTTAAGTATTCAGATAATTACTATTTATTAATTAATTAACAGCAAATTTCTTTTTTTTTTTTTTACTTAAAAAAAATACGCTAATTTAAAAAAGTGCGTCTGTTCACGATGAAAGCCATATGAAAGCCAAAGTGTGCAAAATAACTCCACACTTGTGTCTAGGAGTGATAGCTACACACCGGTGTGGAGGAAAACTCCACACTTTCCTCGAGAGTGTGGTAGACCTCCTATCAAAGAATTTAAAGTTGGCGTATTGATGAGAGTTGTTTTGGTTTGTTTTCACTTTCAAAATGCCAACAAAAAATATATGTTACAACAAGAAATGCAAAATAAAATCAAGCAATTAGAATAAAAAAATAGACGAGAAAGATGTTTTCATAAATAATCTTGAATTAGAAAAAAAATTAAGCCAAGATAAATCAAAAGATCTAAATAATTGGAGTGAAGTTGTAAAAAGAAAAGTTAAAACAAATCAAGGCCAAAATGATATTATAAACACGTTTCTTCATAAGGAAAAAACACGTAATAAAAGAAAAAATATTATTATTATATTTGGTTTTAACCCAGTGGGCACGGGACGTAAAAAAGACGTCCTTAGGACGTTCAAATCGGGTCCGTCCGTCCCATTAAAATTCTAAACGTCTTTTGAACGTCTT